CCACGGTGGCGAGAAGTTAACTACCTCACTTGGTTTACAGGAGATCGTAGGTTTGATCCTGACCCCGACTCCTGTACATTTGGAGTTTGCATGTTCTCCCCGTGGTCACATGTATTTTTTTCCGGGTCCTCCAGTTTTTTCCTCCACATTAAGAAACATGCATTTAGGGAATTTGGTTGCTATACATTTCCACATAAGCCACTTCATTGAGCTATCAATTGTGGCCGGGTCGTTTCTGAATAAGAGCTATATAGCTGAGTGGGCCTTACCTGGTAAAATTAAAATAGTTATTTTATAATAGTTTTGATATACAAGCAGAGCACCAATCTGTCAGACTATTGGCATTCAACACCAATGTTATCCAGCAGCAGTTGTTTAAGCAAGCAAATGCTGTACTGGTTGACCTTCTGAGTCAGGTTTGTTAATCCATCGCTACCTAGTCATCAGATGTAATTGTTAAAAAGCGCTTAATCTAAACGATGGGGCCCTGTTTAAATCATATCCATGCCTTTAACCCATAATGCTTCATGACAACGGATGAGTTTGTGACAATATTATAACAATATAACCGTTACACGCCTGTTCCTCCAAATATGGTCAGCAAGGTAGCAATTGTGGTCCGAGCACTAGTCTAAAGATCACGAGTGCAAATGCTGATTGTAAGTCGACTCAGCCCATCATCACTCCCAGACGTGAAGCGTGAAGGCGTGGCTCTGCAATTGCTCACTCACACCACTGGTGGCAGAAGGGCCTCCACTAGAGTGAACTCTAGAGAGTATTTGGCCTACTCTTCCACAATGAGCAGACATGTTGGAAGAGGTGGGTGTACCGACACTTTACCCCACCACAAGTGACTTATCAATCGACTGTGGTGGGGATCATTGTTTATTGCTGGGTGGTCAGAGGCAGGGGCAATTGGGAAATTTGTACAATATTGTTCCACTGCTCTGCCGTTAAAATAAGTATAAGTCTACCACTTTGATCATCGTCATGAAGGCCTCTGCAAGCCTCTGGCATATATCATGGTCTGGCGATGAAAGAATCCATCTCACACACAATCCAAATTAATCACTCCATTTCCGCGAAGGGTGTCCTCTCAGGCATGCATGCTCCTTCCTTTGGCTGCCACTCCGCAGTTAATGAGAATATGACTTAAAACTTTCGTGACTGCAGGAATTCATATTCTTTGGTTCTTTCGGTAAAGTCACAACCCCTGAGCGGCCTTCTGGAGGTAGGGTGTTGACTGTTATATTAGCCGACTCTCTGTGTTGTATTGCATTGTATTTGTAAGTTTACTAGGTTTGTTTTCTCTTTCATTTTTACCTGATGATGATTGCTTGTGCTGCAATCGAAACGTCGTATGCTATTATTTAACTTAGTTTTTCTTTCTACGTGACTTTACCGAAAGAACCAAAGAGTAACTTCTGCATACCAGGCGAGGAATATAACATCTCGCCACCGTGGCGCAGGCAATCATCCTTTATACTTACAGGGTCACGTCCTTCCCAAGCCTACTTACTTTCTTATCAGTCAAAATGATGTCTCTAATGTGGGGTTTCTCTCATCCACAGGTAAACATTGATAATTTTAAGCAAATGTGAGCTCCCCCACAGTGGGAATAGAGAATGTCTAATTCTGGCTCAGGGCCGCCAATAGAAGCGATTGCTGCTCATTGTTTTAAGCGAGGTCACTTTGATTTGCCCATTGTTTCCCAGTTGCAAGTGGTGATTTACAGTATTTCTTCTTATAAAAAAAAGATTGAACATAAAACTGGGTTTATCCCTACAGTGTAATTAGAGGAATTCTTGTTGTAAATGTTGTCAGCTGATGGAACCAGCAGAAAGGCTTTAAATGCATAATCAGGTTATCCACAAAAGCTGAACAGCAAAACACCACTTTAAAAAATTTACCAAATAAATAATTAGACAATACACTTTGCTTCACATATCTGTCAACGAAAATAAAAGTGTTTTTTACACATCCCATCAGCCACGCAGTCTTCTGATAGAGCATAATTTCACCAGTATAGGTTCAACACAAGCAAATCCTCGACCAGTGTCAACACCCAGCATCTGTACTAGTCTAGGATCTGCCGGTGTAAAATAGTGTAGGGCGCCACATAAGCGAGATGTAAACTACATCGCCTAGTATACAGGAGTTCATGGGATTGAACCCCACCCTGACTATTATATATTTGTAGTTTGCATGTCTCTCTCCCCGTGGTCACGTGGATTTATCTCCGGGTCCTCCGGTTATTCCCTCCACACTTAGAATCAACGTGTGATTACAGTATTTGGCTGCTATAATTTTTCACGTGATAAGCCACTTCATTGAGCTATCATTTGTGGCCAGGTCATTTCCGAAAGATGTGGGGCCCGACGTCCACCCCACCGCCCTCGCTAGGCAGGTGGGGCGCGACGTCCGCCCGTTCCGCTCCAAATTTCACCACGTTGGTTGGCCCCCGCCGGGCCCCCACCGACTGAGTGACAGGGGCCCCCGCGCTAGAACCCTCTCTACGAGTGTATATTCGGTATGGGGGTCGGGGGAGGGGGGTCGTGGCGCTGCGATTCCCTGATCTCATGGTCTGCCCTTCTCGCTTATTCAACCCCAGCTTCTCCCGATGTCGTGAATGACTCATTGTGGCTGGCCCGGTAAAACTTTTTGCGCCCATACACTATTAAGCCAACTCAAGGGCGCCGCAATGTAACTTGTCCAGCGAGGGTCAGCCAATCCCCTGGCACCGGGAAACCATGGGACTTTCCTCATAGGGACCCTTCAGATTAAAACCCGTTGTGCCAGGCAATCCCCCTCCAGGACACTACGTGTGTGCGCTGCGTGTGTGTTCGCAGTGTGGGGGCCAGGGGGGGTCGTGGCGCTTGCAGAGTGGCTTCGAGGCCATGGCACCACAAAGAGCTACATAGCTCAGTGGGCCTTACCTGGTAAAATAAAAATAAAATAGTATTATGTGGCTGATGGGGATGTGTCATACAATACTGTACTTTTCGATTTAAAGCTTTCGTGACTGCAAGGATTCATCTTCTTTGGTTCTTTCGGTAAAGTCACGTAGAATGAGAATAAAATAATAAATTTATAAAATAAAATAACACAATAATATTCTCACGACGTCTCGGCCACAACACAAGCGGCCTTCATCAGGTGAAGGGACGAGACTGTCTGGAGGACAGTGCTGGAGTGAAATAGCCACGCTCAGATCACGACCTTTAAGCTGTGTGAGAAGAAACAAAGCGCCTTGACAAAAGAATTAGCATAGAATTTAGCATTGAAATGGCTGAGTGATTAGCTTGTGACTGGTCACAGAAATGGCTATGTTAAAGTTAAAGCATAGACATCCACAGAGGCACCCCTTGACAAAGGAATTAGCATAGAATTTAGCATTGAAATAGCTAAGTTAAAGTATACACATCCGCAGAGGCACCCCTTGACAAAGGAATTAGCATAGAATTTAGCATTGAAATAGCTAAGTTAAAGCATACACACCCGCAGAGGCACCCCTTGACAAAGGAATTAGCATAGAATTTAGCATTGAAATGGCTGAGTGATACTGTACTTCTCTTATTTTTTTAAGTGGAGGGGCAGATGCGTGAAGGACACGTATTTCTAGCTAATTTAAACACTGTTAAATGCTCCACAATGACGCTCATATTTCGTGTCATGTCAAAGGTAGAGGGGTCCCCTTGCTTAAATGGATGAGCATCTGGCAGTTCAGGGGCATTCGTTTGGGCAAGCTTCGATTCATGATTTATTTATAATCGAAATGTGTACAGGACTGGACTAATTTACACTCCACTTCTGAGAGAGTGTTTCTGCAGCATCTCCTTTAAAAAGCCACCTACTCTCAACCAAAATAAAAGTCTACTTTCTGGACAATTAAAATCTTGTGGATTATCAAGTTGTTTTTTTAACCCACGAGACGGACAGCTAAAGATGTTGGATTGTGACCGGGCACGTACAAATCACACAAGACGCAGACTCGCACAAAGTATTAAGGACCCAAATACACGTGTAAGCAATTTAATACGCTTCAATACCCTTTAGTCATGTTTAACGAAAATAAAATACAAAAACCTACACAACTTAAGTGGCAGTGATCCACAAAGACAATACACAACTAACACATTCGCCAATAGCACTGCCCTCTACAGAAGAAAACAAAGCTCGTAATAGGCGACGTTTTCATGAATGACCCTACTTCAAACACCTCTGATATTGTAGATATGTCTTTAGGCACCTCCAATTAATTAGCAGGGTAGGGTACATACAGTGCAAAATAAGTCCAACATACATACATACCTGGGCTGTCTGAGACGCGATTGATGCTTCAATTAAATAAAATACTTCAAAGTTAAATAGAGAATCCTATGATGACGGCAGTGTACTGGCTTTAAATATAAAAGTTCAAATGAAAAAAATCAATATTAAAGTCACTCCCATGTAAACTTCACCGGAGATATACCGCGGGCCTAATCATTTAACAATCAGTTTAAAGTTTTTTTTATTCTTAACATTTGCAGAAGTTTAAAGAGCGTGTCCAACAGCATTCAGCGCAAATGCGTCCTTCGAGTTCACAGTTTTTGTTCCGTCATCAATAACAGACATGATCAATCCACTGTTGGATGAAGCCCTTTGCCCATGTTGTATTCCCCTCCAAATCAACCACAGACAAAGTGGCACTCACAATGGCAGAACACTCAGTTATTTTTGTCTTTAGTTTGTTGTCTTTCCGCCCCCCCCCGCCGGCACTTCTGATTAGCACGGTGCGAAGGAAGTTCAAAACGCACACCATTTACAAACGAGCTAAACTCGGTTAAAACACGCATTACTTTGCCGCTCATTTCAAACTGGTGTTTGCAGAAAGACAGCAAATCAATGTTCAATCTTAACATTCCAAGCGTCGTATGAACAAACATGCACAACACAACAATGCCGCCAGGTGCGTGGTGGTTACAAGTCCCCATTCATCCACTCACTCACGCACCCACCTGCACAGGACGCAGTGAGCCCCAGCTGTCCTGAAGCTCCACGCGGTGTGGGGTCCCCTGAAGTGGTGCCACGCCAAGTGACGTGCGGGAGGGGCCGGTGCTCGGTGCCCCGCCCCCTCGTCTTATTGGACCAATCGTATTATTGGGGCGTGCTTACCTTAAAATGGTAAGCACGCCCATTGATCATTGCCTCCGCGCACAGAGTTTCATCATCATTAGAATTGTTATTTTATACTGGAGGAATCCGGTGAGCTATGAAGCTCTTTTCACGTGTGTCCAGTAAGGAGGCGGGTCAGAATGTTAAAACAAACAATGCAAAACCACGATAGGAGTGCAGAGTATTGTAAAGGTAAATAGAACCGGACACTGAGCAAAACAATGCTATCCTCTTCCGGGCTAGTATATGCACGAATAGTTATTTTTATATAAAATGCATTTTATGTTCATCACTGTCACTAATGAATGATGACAAATTACATACATTAATTTGTAACGTTAACATATTGTTTAAATCGGATTGGATAATCCTGTTTCATTATCTTGTAACACCGTTATTCTGGCTGGTCTGTTAGCCTAACTTCCTGAATCTTTTGATTTAAATTTTGATTTAAAGCTTTCGTGACTGCAGTAATTCATATTCTTAGTTTTTTCGGTAAAGTCACGTTGAAGAGAAACAACAAAATAACAAAATATATATAAAACAATAAAAAAATTCTCACGACGTTTCGACCATAACTCAAACGGTCATCATCAGGTGTGTCGGTTTGCATAAATTTATTTTGAAAACGGCATATTTATTTATATATAAATAACGTTTGCGTCACGCGCAACGATTGGCTGTTTGCCAGGACTAGTCCATCTATTTTTTGAAAAGAGGAGAGGGGAGACGAAATTTGTTTTTATGTATGCTGTCTGAAAGGCACTGTAAGCGTGAACAATCAATCAAGAACTGAAATGATTTATCAAATCTTTCCAATGATTGCTAAGATAGAATCCATCTTCTCGGTTGAAATTGTCTCTGTGTTTGTATATGTGGATAGCCTCATGAACGAATCTCTCATGGAAGCCAGATGGCTTACAAAGAACCTCCATCTTGGAAAAGTCAATGGCATGTGAGCCTACTGAATTAGAACAATGATCTGCTACGGCCGAGGTGTTGGTCCTACCGTGTTTAAGGTCTGCTTTATGTTCACGAATGCGGCCCGAGATATGGCGTTTGGTTTCTCCAATGTAACTACTACCACAGAGGCAACTTAGTTTGTAGACACCAGGGTATTGTATGTCCGGAATCACATCTTTTACAGACGGAACCAGATCACGGATTTTATGCAATGTGTTGAAACGGACCTGGATCTTGTGTTTATTCAAGATTTTGGAGATCTTTTTTTTTGTGATCCCAGCAATGTAGGGTAAAGTGATGGTTTTGAAAGGCTCCTCAAGAGGGTTCTTCTTCATGGTTTGAGTGATAGCTTTGCGGATTGTATAGTCGGAGTAACCATTAGCCCTAAGAGCCTGGTGTACGTGCTTGAGTTCACTGCTTATGTGTTCCTGGTCGGATATGCATTGGGCTCTATGATACAGAGTCTTGATGAGAGAATTCTTCTGTGATGGATGGTGGTGGGAATCCGGTTTCAGATAAGCATCCGTATGGGTAGCTTTCCTGTAGACAGAGTGGCTCATTGAACCATCAGGTCTCTTTTTAATTAGGACATCCAAAAAAGGTATCTTGCCATCTATTTCGACTTCCATGGTAAATCTGATGGCTGGGTGTATGGAATTGATGTGGTCGAAGAATTGGTCTAGAGCAGGCCGGCCATGTGGCCAGATGACAAAAGTGTCATCCACGTACCTCTTCCACAAGGTTGGGCGTAGAGTGGCAGTCTGGATGGCGTCAGTCTCAAATTTCTCCATGAAAATGTTAGCTATAACTGGAGAAAGGGGGGAGCCCATTGGGGTGCCCTCAGTTTGTTTGTAGAAAGTTCCATTCCAAGTGAAGTATGTATTGGTTAAACAGTGTCTCATCAGGGGGGGTACCTCAGCGTTTAGTCCTTGATGAACCAAGTCTTCAATGATTGCAATGGTGTCAGGTACAGGAACCTTGGTGAACAAGGAAACTACATCAAAACTGACAAGCAGGTCGTCTGGGGACAGGGAAATACCCTTGATTGTTGATACCAGGTGAGTAGAATTTTGTACCGCAGAGGTGGTCTTTCCAGTGAAAGGACGCAGGATTTCAGACAAAAAACGAGCTAGTTTGTAGGTGGGGGAGCTGATAGTAGAGACTATGGGACGAAGAGGTGTATCAACTTTATGTATTTTTGGTAAGCCGTATAATCTTGGTGGCCTGGCAGCAGAAGGTTTCAACGAAAACCGTTTAGATTGATCAATTAATGCGGTTGAATCAGAAATTATTTTGTTAGTTTGTGTGACGAGGCTGTTGGTGGGATCTCTTTTTATTTTTGTATAACTACCATCGTCGAGTAATTCTTTAATTTTGTTGTTGTATTCTATTTTATCCATAATAACAGTAGCATTGCCTTTGTCAGCTGAGAGAACTACAATATCATTCCTCTTTTTTAATTTATATAATTCAAAACGCTCATCTTTGCTGAGGTTGCTAGCTGGCATCTTAGCGTTTTTGAGGGTTGCAGCGATTTCAGATCTTGCTACGTCTGCAGCGATGTGACCCAGGCCCCTGAGAGCAACGTCTACTTGGGCAATTATATCATTAACTGGTATGTGTTTAGGTGTGACTGCAAAGTTTAGACCTTTAGCTAAAACGGATTTCAGACCATCGGAAATAGAACTGTTACTGCGATTAATTACGACTTTATTAACGTCTAACTTTTTGGTGTGTGGGTCCGGTCTTTTGTTGAAAAGGAGGTTAAATTTGGAAATCAGGTTTTCCTTACATTTGGTCGACATAGTAGCAGCTGAAGAGGCAGTCATATTTTCTACATGTTCCCAATCCGATGTGGACATTATTGCCGTCAATGATAAGTGTGATTTGTAGAGTGTCTTGTCTAACTGATCTAGTTCTGTGCGTATAAGTCTGATTTTTTCTGAGATAAGAGCTAAGCTAGTTTTGAAAAGAATTCGTTTCGCATTAGAAGAAGTTACAGTAGCAGAGGTGAGTGTAAATGCGATTGGTATTACCCCAGAGTCGCGGCATCTCTTCAGGAAGGTGAGAGACTCGATCAGCTGAGCTTTCTTATCCCGGAGTTTGTTGAAGGATCTTAAAGTTATGTGAAAACCCTCCCCGTAGAGGCGATTAAATTTTGATTTAAAGCTTTCGTGACTGCAGTAATTCATATTCTTAGTTTTTTCGGTAAAGTCACGTTGAAGAGAAACAACAAAATAACAAATTATATATAAAACAATAAAAAAATTCTCACGACGTTTCGACCATAACTCAAACGGTCATCATCAGGTGTGTCGGTTTGCATAAATTTATTTTGAAAACGGCATATTTATTTATATATAAATAACGTTTGCGTCACGCGCAACGATTGGCTGTTTGCCAGGACTAGTCCATCTATTTTTTGAAAAGAGGAGGGGGGAGACGAAATTTGTTTTTATGTATGCTGTCTGAAAGGCACTGTAAGCGTGAACAATCAATCAAGAACTGAAATGATTTATCAAATCTTTCCAATGATTGCTAAGATAGAATCCATCTTCTCGGTTGAAATTGTCTCTGTGTTTGTATATGTGGATAGCCTCATGAACGAATCTCTCATGGAAGCCAGATGGCTTACAAAGAACCTCCATCTTGGAAAAGTCAATGGCATGTGAGCCTACTGAATTAGAACAATGATCTGCTACGGCCGAGGTGTTGGTCCTACCGTGTTTAAGGTCTGCTTTATGTTCACGAATGCGGTCCGAGATATGGCGTTTGGTTTCTCCAATGTAACTACTACCACAGAGGCAACTTAGTTTGTAGACACCAGGGTATTGTATGTCCGGAATCACATCTTTTACAGACGGAACCAGATCACGGATTTTATGCAATGTGTTGAAACGGACCTGGATCTTGTGTTTATTCAAGATTTTGGAGATCTTTTTTGTGATCCCAGCAATGTAGGGTAAAGTGATGGTTTTGAAAGGCTCCTCAAGAGGGTTCTTCTTCATGGTTTGAGTGATAGCTTTGCGGATTGTATAGTCGGAGTAACCATTAGCCCTAAGAGCCTGGTGTACGTGCTTGAGTTCACTGCTTATGTGTTCCTGGTCGGATATGCATTGGGCTCTATGATACAGAGTCTTGATGAGAGAATTCTTCTGTGATGGATGGTGGTGGGAATCCGGTTTCAGATAAGCATCCGTATGGGTAGCTTTCCTGTAGACAGAGTGGCTCATTGAACCATCAGGTCTCTTTTTAATTAGGACATCCAAAAAAGGTATCTTGCCATCTATTTCGACTTCCATGGTAAATCTGATGGCTGGGTGTATGGAATTGATGTGGTCGAAGAATTGGTCTAGAGCAGGCCAGCCATGTGGCCAGATGACAAAAGTGTCATCCACGTACCTCTTCCACAAGGTTGGGCGTAGAGTGGCAGTCTGGATGGCGTCAGTCTCAAATTTCTCCATGAAAATGTTAGCTATAACTGGAGAAAGGGGGGAGCCCATTGGGGTGCCCTCAGTTTGTTTGTAGAAAGTTCCATTCCAAGTGAAGTATGTATTGGTTAAACAGTGTCTCACCAGGGGGGGTACCTCAGCGTTTAGTCCTTGATGAACCAAGTCTTCAATGATTGCAATGGTGTCAGGTACAGGAACCTTGGTGAACAAGGAAACTACATCAAAACTGACAAGCAGGTCGTCTGGGGACAGGGAAATACCCTTGATTGTTGATACCAGGTGAGTAGAATTTTGTACCGCAGAGGTGGTCTTTCCAGTGAAAGGACGCAGGATTTCAGACAAAAAACGAGCTAGTTTGTAGGTGGGGGAGCTGATAGTAGAGACTATGGGACGAAGAGGTGTATCAACTTTATGTATTTTTGGTAAGCCGTATAATCTTGGTGGCCTGGCAGCAGAAGGTTTCAACGAAAACCGTTTAGATTGATCAATTAATGCGGTTGAATCAGAAATTATTTTGTTAGTTTGTGTGACGAGGCTGTTGGTGGGATCTCTTTTTATTTTTGTATAACTACCATCGTCGAGTAATTCTTTAATTTTGTTG